AGAGAGAGAGAGAGAGAGAGAGAGAGAGAGAGAGAGAGAGAACTAAGATTACAAGTGTATTGTGGTGATAATCTTTTTTTTTCTTTTTTTTAACAGGTCTGCTCTGTTTATTCCTCTACTTACTGACCACAGCAGCCCAGGGAAACAGCCAATAGGCTGCACAAACAGGAGCAACTGGAAGAGGATGCCCTTGGAAGGACACAGCAGTTTTTCGGTGCCTGCTTTGGTGAAATCATCCTTGTAGTTCATAGGGTTCCAGTCACACTTCTACACACAAAACCCGAGTGGAGCTCATCTTAGTGATGTCAGGAGCAAGAGTAACTTATGAAAGGGGGGAAGGGGGCTTGAAAAGAATGGGCCCTTCTAGGAGTCATTCAGTCCTTTAAGAGTTTGTGCATTAACTTAAAAAGGAAAGTGGAAGACCGGCAACATGAATTCTATATTGACATTTGGTTCTTAATAATAACATCCAAAATGCGTTCTGGTCTTATAGCGCTGTGACCGGGACTGCATCGGGTGGAGGGTTTATGTTGCCCGAGTCTCCCTTGGAAGTGGAGAGAAGCTGGTGATGATAGAGACACACAGATTTCTCCTTGGGACCTATATGCAGCTGGGTGGGGTGCTGCAGCAGGCGCCTCGGTTCTGACAAGGGCTGGGGATATAACCCCAGCAAGCCTGCAAACACATGGGCAGAATCCTCTGCCCTGAGCCCACAAGAACAGGAACACTGATGGGGCCAGTGATGGCAGCTCCAGGAGAGTGCAAGGGAGGCTGAGATGTCCAGATGGGCTGGTCCCAATGGGTCCAAAGGGGTCAAAGCGAGCTCCTGGGGGCACAGCACCAGGGGGAAGCCGGTTCGGGAGGCCTGAGGATGGGTCAATAAGTGCTCTTGGGAAGTCAGAACTCAGGGGACCCACAATCATGCCACCTCTCTGACACCGGACGTGGTCTAGGTCTTCTCCCCCGACAGCAAAAGGGCTCAGGGTTTCACACCTGGTATGTCTGCCTGGCTGGGTTTACAAGTGTCATGGGGGACAATATTTTTCCAAGGAGGCTGCCAGCAAGGGTGTGGGTGGTGTGAGGGAATCCGGAGTGGGTCCACCTCTCTGGCAGTGGCAGGTGGGAACTCCCGATGGGGACTGCTTACACGAGCCTTCTCCCACTGCTCATGGATAGGTGTGATAATTCCACATCTGATCTGAAACTGAAGCTCCTCACTGTTCTTATAGGTCCTGTGGAAATCACTCAGGTCTTCTGCATCAATATAATCATCTACGTTCAGAGTCAAGTCTGCCACCTGCTGTGTGCCATGTTCCAGCACATTGATGATCATGGCACTCTCCAAAGACGCAACTTTCAGAAGGAAACTACTAACTAACTAACTATAGAGGTCCGAGGTCTGTACAGACAGACAGGAAGTGACATAGCTGAGCACAAACAGGATATAAACTGCTTAGGAGGTAAGGTGTGCTATGGCTCTCAGCATTTCCCTCTACATATCTGACTCCGGCCTTTATTATCTAGACCAACTAAGAACTCCTTTTACAGTGTATACCACCATATCCAGTTTTTAATGTAGTTTCAGGGCTGGAACTTGAGTGCTCATGCTTGCCAGCCAGGTGCTTTCCCCACATCCACAGTGAAATCAGCATGCTCCCAATAGCCACAGTGTGGTATATAGGAAGCACTACCTCTAAATCCAGCTTGTTAGATTATGGAGAGACATCTCATTGAGATTGCATGAGACAGAGCCTCTGTTTTAAAGAGGCTCTTTTGAGCTTAAGAATTACATGAAGACATCATTAAAATGTACAATACACGAATTGAGCAGATCCTGATGGCACAGGCCTGTAATTCTGGGATTTTAGAAGGTTAAGGCTTGCTGGGCTATGGAGGGAATTTAAAGCCAACCTGGGAACTTTGGTGAGACCCCAGTCTCAAACAAACAACTAAAGCTGACAATCCAGGATGTAGCTAAGTGGCACAACACTTACCTAACAGGTACCAGGCCCAGGTTCAAACCTCAGCTTTTCAAAACAAAATAGAAAGCACATGAACTGAAGGAAAGTAGAGGCTGCGGTGTGAGGGAGCTGTGGGCAAGGGCATTTTCTCTCCCTCTCTGCATCTAATGTGATCCTGGCTTTTAAAAATCCATTCAGTTTTCTTTGTTGCTCTCAGCCCAGGAGCAATTTAAATAACAAAGGTATTTTATTGAGTCCTGAAAACAGTTTATCCTTGAACTTGCCTCGGCTCAGCCCTGTGGTTGGAAGGGAAATGGTTCTTGGACAACTTGCCAATTTCCCTTTGTCGTTTATCTTATATTCCCAATAAGATTTGCATTGTTTGTAAATTGCCTGTTTCACCCAGGCTTTCAAATGACTAACATGGGCTTTCCTAATCCTCCCTGTATAAAGGCTACCTCTCCTTCTTAATTTGTACTTGTTCTTTTCTCTTCTTGATTAGTTCTTCTAAACATTTGTCTACCTCATTAGTATTTCCAAAGAATCCAGTTTTTCAGTCACTTATCAACCACACACAGTTTTTCCAATCTGAGCTGCATTACCATCTACCTGACTTGCTCTCAGCTCAGTATTCACTCTGAGTAGATTGGAAACATCTCAAGCTTGAACTCATTTCTGTTGTGTGACTCTTTTAAAGCTATGCATTTCCCTGTAGTTACCACCTTGACCACACCTCAGATTCTCATAGCTTTAGAAAATGCCCAAGAACCTACTGCCTTGCTTAACAATGATTACCATGTGCCAGGCAAAACCAAACAGACAAAACAGAGAGTACATGAAATGAAGAGCAACGAGAGGCTGCAACATGAAGAAGCTATAGGGAGCATGCTCTATGCAGCTTTTGACATCAATTTTATGACTCTGACTTAATTTCTAATCCCCACATTCTTGCTGCATATAAACTCCCGTGTTTTCTGCCCTTTGCTCTTCAGCCCTGCAGCTGGGTCAGAAAGACAGAAAGGTCTTTCCTGCCCTCTTTCTTTCTCCTTCGTCTTCACTGCATTACACAGATTGCATCCTACTGTTGACTTCACAGGATATCTGTTAACATGGATCCCTGTCTTCCCAGCTCAGAGGTACCCCATCCCCTGTAGAGCAGTACCCAGAAACACACCTTGTTCTCATCAGCTGCCCTTAGTGTGCTGAAACCCATGAATAGGTGCCTTTTTTCCCCTTTAGATTTCAATACTCAATATTCTAAGAATGAAATGACATCAGGGAAGTAATTGCTATAGTGTAAGATGTTGAAAGGGTGAATAATCAAACTCAGATGGATTTCTTGGATGGGAAATCAGTTTACAGTTCAAGCATAGGGCCTGGGTGGAGATGTATAGCCAGGGGAAGAAATTACATCACACGAGAATCAAGAGCAATGGTCAGAATAGCATTAGTCGGTGACACAAAGGAATCGGAGAGTATGTGGCCAGCAAGACAGGATGATGAGAAGAAAGGGACAACTACATGGCAGGCCCACTAAAAGCCAAGTTCATCTGACTTGGGAGAAGAATTGAGGCTGCAAAATGTGTTCACTTCAGTCTGCTGGCTTCATTTGTGTTTTCACAATGTCACTTGGTAGCCTTATAGATCTTACGATGCATACCCCAAGGCCATGTGAAGTTGAGTTGATGTCAACACTATGAATGAAAGTCTCTTAAATGAACAAGAGGACAGTTACCAGCCACTTGAATAAGCAAGCAGCTTTAAGCCAAGACTCAGAAAACTCTCAACCTTAGTGAGACTACCAGTTTGACCTCCTTTGCTCCTTGTTTTCCTAGTAGCTCAACTCAGAATTCCCTTCATCAGGCCTCTAGTTCCTGCATGCTGCTGCTCCAATCCACAGGTGAATTCTAGTCTCTTTACCCTTAATCTCCATTGGAATTAATGGCTTGCTTACCCAGCAGACTCTGGTAGGTAGCAACAGTGGTCAATGGATTCTGTGATTTCTGAGATTGGGGCAAAGAAATCTTGAAGTCACCATTGGGTCACTTGCTTAGCTCATTCTTACAAGCCACCCACTATGGTATAAGAAGCCCATGCCAATGGAATAGCCACGCATTTGGTGTGTCAGTCACCAATCCCAGCTGCAATCCTTGCGCCATCGCCACTTTTCGGGTGACCCTTCTTGGCCATTCAACTCAACTGGACCTTCCCTTGAGCACAGATTCATCCAATACCTGTGTGGAACTGTATGATGTTCACCAAATGCAAAACCAGCTGAGTCCAGTGAGTGTACAGAGGAATGAGAAACAATGATTAATTTTTATAACATTGAGCTTTGAGGCAGCCATTTATAGAGCAATACATGATTAGAGCAATCTTCTATGCTTGAATAACACGAAGAAAAGTCCCCATCAGAGAAGCATATCTTCCTTCATTCAGGAGACATGGATTGCCATCTTCCCAGTTAAAGTCAAAGCTTATTGAGTGGGAACACTTATCCCACCAATACTTCTTTTCTGAGCCATTATTATACTCTTTGCTAGCAAAAGAGCAGTATCTTTTCCAAGTTATTATTTGAAGATGGCCACAAGTCAATTTTCTTCCTGTTAGTCACTTCTTAGTAATTAGGATTCTCGAGACTCTGATATTAGTAGACTGCTGAGTTTATTGTTAAACTTAATTGATAGTCAGCACAGCAGGTGTTTATGATCTGTCCTTTATATACTGTGATAGATCTTCTGGTTTACAAATGAAATGGAGTTCTGCTCCCAAGAATCCTTTTATTCAGAAGAGAAAACAACCCAAAGATAACACATTTCAAGGAAAAACGTATTGGGTGATTGTGCCAATTACTTATTGCCATGGTGAAATTCCTGAAAAGAAACAAGGCTTTTGTTGTTGTTGTTTGGTTTGAGGAGGAGTTGTTTGGTTTTCTGGTTTACAGGGGAATACAGTCTACCAAGTTGGGAAGTTAGTGCAGCAATAGCAGAAGGCCAGCTGGTCACATTACATACAGAGGCAAAAAACAAGAAGTGAACAGAATATGAGGTCAGATCATTATACCTCAAGACCTACCCTCAGTGACACACTTCCTCAAGCAAGGTTCCAACTCTGAAGAGATTCCACAACTTCAAACAGTACCATCAGCTGGGGGCCAAGTGTTCAACCACATGAAGTCTCCTATAGGAGACATCTCACATTTAAACCATAACACTCTAATCCTGGCCCCTACACACTCATGACTGACCATCTTCTGATATAAAATGCGTTAATTTCAACTTCAAAAGTCTCCATAATCTTTAACAGTATTAAAACTGTTCAAAAGTTCAAAGTTTCTTCTGAGACTCAATGAAATCTTTCACCTATGAATCCTTTTTAAAAATAAAAAATACATTGCACATTTAAATATTCAACAGCACAAAATAAATATTTCCTCCTAAAAGAGAATCATAGAGGCACAGCAAGGAAAGGTTAAACCAAATCAAGACTTAAACCCAATAGCATTAATAGCAAATCCTAAAACTCAGAATCTGGCATCTGGGACTCATGGTAGAATCATCTGGGTTTCAAATTACTTAGCTAGATCTGTTCCTTCAGCTCAGTGACCCACAGTGGACATAGCCTCACCCATGAGCCAGCTCCAGTCTATGTATGCAGTGTGCCACAATAGACATCCCATAGTTACAGCATCTCCAACATCCAGGGGTCTCCATTACAACTTGAACTTCGTTTTCGAAGTTTCCTGTATTGGCTTCTCAGGACTTCTTTGCATCAGAGACTCCAACACATTTCCTGGCCTCAAAGACTCTCCAGAACCACGACATGAGACCGCATGATCCTCTCAATCTTGCGTCATTCATGCCCAGAAATTAGTACTGCATGGACAACATTGGTAAGTTCTACTGCTAGCTTAGGATGGAACCACAGCTGAAGCCTCTTTGTGCTGACCCTGGGGAAAATCTTCCCTCATCAGCAGCTTATGAGAATCAGGGAACCCCCTTCAACGGCCATTGAGACTCTCTCCTTCGCAGCAAATCTGCATTTTTACAAATTAGAGCCTTCGATAGGTGGGGTTTGCCCTCAGGACATCATTCTATTGGTTCGGTGTAGAGAAGGAGGTTTCTCACTTTTTGCTTTGTTTTGTTTTTTGTTTTGGTTTGTTTTTGTTTTTTTAGCAAATGCTTTGGCTACAACTTTAAACTTATCCTCACTCTTTCCTTGACAAACCACACATTTTTATATCTTTCTGCCCTGTTTATCACTCTAGACCTGAATAAGGATGGATAAGAATTGTTCCATGGCCTGATTGCTCTCCTGCCTTGCTGTTTTCTCCATCAACTACATTAGTTCATAACTTTCAAATTTAACCTTTTTTTCAAGTTCTCAGGACATGGGCAG